ATATAGAAGCCTACAGAGGCTTAGCTTTGGACATGAGGGGGAGGGATTAAAATGGCATGCAATCTGTGGGGTTTTTCTTCCTCACCATTATCTAAATTAACAGTTTACTGTTTTCTTTGTGTCTCTTCTATTATAGGCTTAAGTGCTTAATCTAAAGCTTAAGGGCCTTAGCATGAACAAACAGAGAAAAGTCCTCAAGGAAATACAGTTATGGTCTCTTGAAACAGGCGGTATTTAAAGGACCAAACACACAGATCTCCCACCCTATAGTTTTCTGTCATAGGAAGAGCAAGTGACCTGCACATATGTAGCTCTGTGCTGCCAGTACACCCAATAAACTAAAGGTGGGAAGCTTGCTGGGAGAGGTAGCTCTGGTTGGCAAGCTTGGTGCTCTTGAGAGCCTTAGGGAAAAAGGCCTCCTTTGGGTGATGGGGAGCTAATGAAACCTGTGGCTGAACTAGGCTTAGTTTAGGTGGCTTTGCCAAGGCTACAGGTACAGCTTCCCAGCTGTGTTAAATTCCCTGTTAAATCCAGAGGGATAACCTCACCCTACTTCCAGAGCAGTAGATATCCCCCTACCTGCAAAGACCCAACAAATCCTGCTTTGCTGCTGGAGGAGAGAGAACGCACCTCTTCAGGAGGGCCTGTGGACAGCCAGAGGACATAGAGGAGCATTAACTAGGAGACACTAGTATGTTAGAAACCTGGGATTAATTTTTGGTAGCAGAGCTCAAAGTACCTCATATCAATAGCTTATAAGAAGTTATTTTCTTTTGTTTTATGTTTGTTTATGTTGCTGGCTACTGGTCTTGATGAATAAGCATATAATTTGGTTTATTTCAACTTTATCAGCTATTTCTGTGCTTTTTAAGGTGCATGAAGAGTTCTTGGTCAGTTGTTAATTATAATTTGTTCTAATTACTGCTTGGATCCCTGAGGAAATTAAATGCAAACCACGTGCAGTTTAGCTACAGAGCTGGCCTGCAAATACACAGAAACTCAGGGTGATAAACTGTGGTTTGGTGCCTCCTTCCTCTTGTTAGGCTTCCTCTGGCCAAACTCAATATATTCAAGCACCAAGCACAGACTCAGGGAATGTATTAATCAGAGACAGAGTGCATGCTCCATTGTATGTGTTGGTGGCACTCGTTTTCCCAACAATTCAATGTGTTTGTAAACTGGCAGCATAGAATAATTGTCTATGGGGTCATGAAAGGCATCTTAGAAAAATTCTTTGTCAGCTAGTGGCAAACATTCATTAGAAGCAGCTGATAGAGACAGGGAACAAAGCTGATGCTGGTATCCATCAAAGGCAGAGCCTTGAGAGAATAGGCGGCATGAGGAATGTTCCCCAGATGAGAGGTCCAGCTTCTGTGGAAATGGTGCTTTAGGACTCTAAACAAGGGAGGTTGTTTGCATGGCTGTAGGGGTTTATCCCTAATGTAGTGGGAATATGATGTGAACACTACTGTACGGTAGATAATTTTTTGTTAGAGAGGACTGGTTGAAAGAAAGCTTTATCTCATGAAATGGGATGTTATATCTTAGCTTTTTTTCTCCTGTGGAAATTGGCTACAGTGTCAGTGTTTCTTGTTTGCTTGTTCTCAGTTTAAGCTTTGGAAAAAAGCTACGATTTCTGAAATGTCACACAATCCTCCCTCAAAGTGTTCTCTTCAGATCATATTGTATTTCAATTTTTCAATATATATTGACCAGAAATTAAATTTCATTGAACATTTTAAATTTACTACATGTAATATGGAGTTTTTAGTTCTGAAAGAAATCACCTATTAAAATAGTGGAAGTATTTGCTGTAAAATAATCATTCTATAGAGTCATAGAATCATAGAATGGTTTGGTTTGGAAAGGACCTTAAAGCTCATCCAGTTCCAACCCCTGCCATGGGCAGGGACACCTTCCACTAGAGCAGGTTGCTCCAAGCCCCATCCAACCTGGCCTTGAACACTGCCAGGGACAGGGCAGCCGCAGTTTCTCTGGGCAACCTGTGCCAGCACCTCAGCACCCTCAATAGGGAAGAATTTTTTCCTAGTATCTAATATAAATCTCCCTTCTGTCAGTTTAAAACCATTCCTCCTTTTCCTGTTGCTAGCTTTTCTGCAGCAAATAAACTTCTAAAGTTTGCAGTGAGGATGTCCCATATCCTACAACTCTGACAACTGAAAGGTTAGCAAAAAGTGGTTAAATGTTCTCGGGATAAAAATTATATTTAAGAATGTCCTTAGACCCTTTTCAGTGTGTCACTGAATACATTGAAAAAGAAACGGTGTTGAAACAAGTAACAAAGGAGGCTCTTGTCAGAAGATTACAGACATCTGTTGCCTTATGCACTCTCATCTTTCTCATGCCTTGATACTATGATAAAAGGGAAGCATCTCAGATAGCAGGTGCCTATGGCCAGCAGCTAAACTGTGACACCACTATTGTAGCTGGGTCAGTCTTGGAGGTAACAAACCACAACAGAAAAAGAAATAAAAAGAAATTATTTTTAATGCTACTGCTGTGGGGCCTTAAGTCCAGCACTGAAGGTGTGAGAAGGAGAATGACCTAACCTACTTTATCAAGTTATACCAGAAGCATGAAAGGGAAGGTACAGAAGGAGAAGTGTTGCTTAGGAAAGACAGTCAGGAATAGTACTGCTTATTACAGGAAGGCAGTGTCATATAGAATGGCCATACATGATACCTCAGGAGAGTTTTCTAAGGAAGAGGACTTCATTGTTGCTCAGGAGTTGAGCTGGGTAAAAAATATGTATGTTCTGTTGTGAAAGCCTCCCTTCTTTGGAGCGGCATGCATACAGGGTGTATGAGCCTGGCTTTTGGAAAGCACATGCTCTCCTGGAGCTGCTGGGGTCCACAGCTTTGATGGAGGACACTGCTCACTGCACTACATCTGGAGGTGGCACTTCTAGCAGCACATGTTGCAGGGGTGGGCCTGGTGTCTGCTGGCGATCAGTCGATGGGCAGGTGCTTCGTGTCAGCACCCTGAGGACAATCATATGGCTTAATTTTTCTGCCTCCCATGTGCACCCATCCACTGCCTATGGGCCAGGAGCCCCATCTAAGGCCAGTCTGCAGCGGAGCCCAGCCCTAACTCTACAACATGTTGGTAGGACAATTGGAGGGCCAGTCACCAGCCTGCCTAGTGTCGGATGAGGCCCAGGGTGATGAGGGTACTGTCGTGTGTTGGGGTCTCCTGGGTTCCCCACTCATCCCTCCTGTGAAGCAGCCTGCTTCTGCTTCTGACTCAGTCTGTTTTCATGGCATCTTGTAAAGCTGGATTTATAGCATGAATTAGTGAGCAGATGCTTTTGATTTCTACTTCAGAAGAGCCATAGGCAGTTGAAAGTCTTCAAAATCTGTGTTTCTCTCTGCTTTTCATTCTTTTGCATGCCAGATGTGTAAAGAAACATACCTGGATGTTATAGCCACAGGTAAGTTCAGAATAGGCATTAGAAATTCGCAATTTTTAGAGGAATAAGGTTTTTTGTGAGTCTCTTCTTTCCCAAGTCTTACTCAGTTTTAAGGGACAATTTATGTAAACTCATGAAAAATAATATGTGATAGGATGATGTGCAAAGGGTTGATTCTCAAGAAGTTTCTTCCACTTCTGTTTCTGTAAATCTCAGGATCTTTGTGTTAGAGATCCTAGAGAAACACTTGTCTGGAGGGTGCTTATCTTTACTGGGTAATTCTGAGTTTTGAGCCTTCTTCCATCACATTAAGCCCATTTTTGGAAGGCTTCCAGTACCCTCCTCTTCTGACAGCTTTTCTGTCCTCTGGTTGCTTTCCTCCAGCAGAAGGGAAGGGAGCCACTCACTGTGCAGAACGCCCAGCTGTGCCAAAGCTGTACAGGAGTCAGTCCCATCCCAGGGGCTTTTACTGCTTCTGTAGCTCAAAATGAACTCTCAAGTGGGGAGAAATGGAATTCCTCACAACTGAAAGCACATGCTTTCCAGGCTGGTAGTTACCATCTCAGTGAGACAGCATATTCTTCAAGCTCTGAGAGGACTTAAAGCTTCCCATTTGTGGCATTTTTATGTAGCAAAGAGGCTATATGATAGTCATGCATTAATGAGGTTGTTGTGGTCCTTCTCTCCCAGGGAAATGGGCAAATCCTTCCCAAGATAACACATGAGTGTGGGGTAGGAAATGAGAAGGCAAGAAGAAGCTGGCTTTCAATAACGTCTTAGTTATACAGCAGTATGCATACTTAATATTAGACAAAGGGGAGCCTTTTCCATATTTGCCCTCCCTATTGTGCAGCAGTACTTCAGACACCTCTAAATGTTGAATCTTCAGCTCTGAGCCTCCTCTTAAAATTTCTCCCTGCCATGCTTATGTGGTCTGTTCTTGTCAGTATAGCTTGCCCCAGTGTGGTACAGGCCTGTGAATCAAGGACAGAGAACAAACTCTTGCCTTTTTTTCCCCTTGTAATCCGTGAGCACTTCTCTCTGTTTTTCCCTAGTTTCCAAAGTTATTTTGGGGAGCATGTGTGTGAGAAAGCAGGACAGAAAACCTCATTGGGGATTATATGAGGCTACTTTGAGCAGAGCCTATACTATGCATTGTGGCATTATGTACCATACCATGGATGGGCAAGATGGGGTGGGGGACTCCTTAATACCTGGAGTTTGGCAGGGTTAGTCCTCTCAGGAAGAGCAGCAATGTTAAATTACAATATAGGGGATAGCCAGTATATGGCTCTAGGTACACCACAGAAATTCTGTGTTTCTACTCTGTGATATTTACTTTTTGAGACTGTAATAAAAGCTGATTTTGTCTCTACAGCTGAAGGATCTGAGAGCATTTTTCCCTATGATGTTATTAAAGAATATAGCCACTACAAAGGTATTTTCACATTTATTACTAACTTTCTTTGACTGAAGTAGTACGTGACATATGAATTATCACTGGTTGTCTGTCCCAATTTTTGTCACCTAATATCACGGCTTTTTGTATCTGTCCTTAGGAGATGTAGCTTCAAGGCTGACAGGGATAATGCAGAGACCTGGAAGTCAAATAAAAAGCAGAAGTGACTAACTGGCAGGAGCAGAAGCTGGTAAGTACTGCAGTAAAAGTGCTATTTAACCTGCTGGCTAATACAAAAAGGTTATTTCTACAGCAACTAGTGGAACAATATATTTAGCAATTAAATTAATCCAAACAAATAGGGATTTTAACCACATTGTCCTGGCTAAATTCCAGCTTAGGTAATTACATTCTGGCTGCCTGCATTCCCTCTGGAGTTTCCTTCTGGGTAAGTTACAGCTTACACCACGTGTGTGTGTGTTGGAATTGTTATGAGCAGTTGTGTAGCATGTCAGCATCTGGTAAAACCTTTCTGGTAAATAAAAACAGAGGTGAATGCATTTCTGTCGAAGTAAGGAGTCACTTTTTTGTCATACATAACCTGTTAGTAGGATGCAACAAATTGCAGGACTGGCATGTTGCACTGATGGCTGCTATATAAACAGATAGGCAGTGGTTAGAAATACAAACTGACAGACAAGCTGGATTAGCACTTTCCTTCCTCCCCACCCTTCCTGTGTTACACTTTCCTGTGCTTCCTTCTTAACCTGAACCTTTTTATGTCCAAGCCAGCTTGAAGTGGCTGCCTGTATTTTTAATCGTGTCAGTTCATCCTGGTTCACAGGGTAGCCAGACAAACAAGATGCACAGGTGGTACCAAGAGGTGGCACTGAGGTGAGGAAAGGGACAGGGTAAACCAGCTCTGAGACACAGCATCCCCTTCCCAGTAACACATGTGCTACTCCATCCCTTTCTGGGATATTCAGCTGAGGCTAACACATTTCTAAAGCTCTTCTGGGGAAACGCAATGAAACACTGAATTCAGGTCTAGCTTACATCTCCTACTGTAGCTGATACACAGCAGTCTCTGTCTGTGGACTTGATGCCATTTTGAAGAGCCAGGAATATCACAGTAATTTCATTCATTTTATTGATTGCAAGCTCATTTGGAAAGGATCTTCCCTGCAAAGCTGAAATGTGCAAACACAAATCAAGGGTCATGTACTGCATTCTCCATGAATTTCTCTTTCTTTTTCCTGTTTCATCTCAGAAAACATGCCACATTTCGTGAGCTGGGAAGATGATCAAGATGTAGCTAGCATACAGTGAACAGGTCAGGGAGTCCTTTTCCCCCTCTGCTTTTTGATGTAGCTAAAATAAGGCTCATCTTTCCAAACACGAGGCACTAAGAATCCATTCAAATAGGTTACATACAAGGTACAAGTGAGCAAACACACTAGCTTTGGGATGTGGAGTCACCAGGGAAATTCAGAAACAACATCATTTTAATTGTGGGGTTGGGACAGCTTTGCCAAAACACACACATCCTGTTACCATAATCTGCACTTGGGAACAGTCCCTTCATGGTACTGCTTTGTAGAAAGTGAGGATGCGTTCAGCTTCAGCTAAGAGCTGCAGTTACCTGGAGATTGGGCACATGCATGCCACTTCACAGGGAGCATCTGAGGGCATTCAGCTCATTGTTACAGGCAGCAGAATGAATTAACAGGGATAATGAGGTCTGAGGCAAAGACGTGGTTCCTTTCACCTAGACAAATGTTCTAGCAGCTGTGCAAAACACGTTCCTTGGGTGAATGAATTAATAAAAATGAACAGTGCCAAGCAGATTGTAAGAATTGCTTTGGATCACAAAGATCTTTTGGTGATTAAGTCGAGAATCTGCAAAATTTAAAAATTGTTTTTATTTATTTGTCAAAGGGAAAGCCTTTTCAGCAGGATAAACAGAAAACAAATGTACCAGCTTTAAGCTCTTCTTAACGAGTTTAATTTACTTCTGTTAAAATGATTCAGCCATCACCATTTCTCTACAATAGGTATTTTGTTGGGAAAACTAATTTGAATGTGCATGATAGATGAACTGCATTGAAAGTACCAATTGTTATCAGCTCTAACCCTTGATCTTAATTAGCTCCACATCTGCTTCCATAGAAACAACAATACGATCAATAAAATACTACAGCTAGCTGCTTGTGCTGAGGAAGTAGGCAGGAGAAAAAGTATTTTCAGTTATTTGCTTCTGACCAGCTTGTGGACCCAGCAACAAGTGTACTGTATTGCCCTCAAAGGCATTGCTGGGCTTGATCAAGGGCCTCGTCCCCTGCTAGTAAGTACATCCATCACTTAGTGAAGTTCCCTCCACTGTGTGTATGGGTAAGATACAGTGGTTGTACCTTTCTTCCCATTGATTAACACTTCTGGTGGGGACAGTGGAAAGGACCACTTCTAACTTTTTTCCATGCAGAGATGAGTCAGATCAATATCCAGTATCTATTCCACAGGTGGAACGCCTGTGTCTTGTCCTCTATCCACAGGAAAAGGTCAGGACAAGGTGAAGTACAGCTTCACGGTCCTTGGAACACATTTGGGTAATCTCCTCCAGCTGCCTGAGTACTTGTACCACCAGCACTTGCAACACTCTCCCTTTCACACAACCGTATTTGGGATTGTGTAGACCTTGTGCGAAACTGTCTGAGGGGTATAAAGTCAAAAGCAATAAATCCTTGACATCTGACTCTACAGCAGCGCTTTGTAAGCCAAGTGTGTTATGCTATGTAATTTTCAGCCTTCAAAGTAGTGCACTCAGAAGTCTATTAGTGGGCACTCTGATGTACCTGGTTCAAGTCTGAGGTTGTAGGAATGTAGTTTAGCCTAAGTATATTGTTAATCAGTGGTTATGCTTGGTATTTGGAAAACACTTTCTTGGAAAAGAGTTACCTAGAAAGAAGCCATGTTCTATTCAGAAGGGCTCATGAGGATTGGAATACTGTCATGATGGAATTCAGGATAAGGACATAACCGTATCACTTAGTGACATATAATCCAAAATGTATTTACCAAGTGGGATGGGCCTGGAGAGTGAATAACAATTTTTATGCCAAGATAAAAGTTTCAGTGTGCAATAAACCGTATGCTGGTTTTGTATCATCACCAGTGTGACTAGCAGGTTGAGGGAGGAGATTCTCCCCCTCTGCTCTGCTTTGGTGAGACAGCCCCCCTCTGCAGTCCTGTGCCCAGCTCTGGGGGTAACAACACAAGAGGGACATGGAGTTGTTGGAGCGAGTCCAGAGGAGGCCATGGAGATGCTCTGAGGGCTGGAGCAGCTCTGCTCTCGAGCCAGGCTGAGAGAGCTGGACTGGTTCAGCTTGGGGAAGGGAATCTTTAACCTGACAGAGGGGAAAATTGTCTCTGAGCTCATTAGGATCCCATCAGCTCCACTGTGGCTGATGTTTTGTAATCTAATTTCAGTCACATTGTCAGTACGATGCCACATGTGTTTTATCCATCTATATCTGAATTCATTTTTGTATAAAGCATGACCACCTGTTGGTATGTGGTATGCATTTTTAATGCGTTGAAGTATTCTTTGTTAAGAGATAAATAGTGCCTCTCTATACAGAAAGAACATTTTACTACTCAGGGAGTTAACAGTTGGCTTACTCAAGCACAAGAAGGCTGTACCCTACCTGTCAGAGATATGAATGTTTCCAAAGAGGTGAGAGTAATTAATAGTCTAATAAATGTCAAATAATTCTATGAAGAAGGATAGGGGAATGAGAATGAAACTCAGAAACTCAATGAATCCTCAGGGAAGCTCTCTTATAGAAGTGCAAACCTCAGCCTATTTCCCCACACTTCAAATGCAAGTGAATGTATGAATGTAAGTCAGAGGTAAAGCACTGGTAGAAAACAGCAGCTTCGGCTAGGAGTCTGCAAATAATAACTTGGAAAGCTGAAAGTGTGAGAGGCTTTTCTGCAGACAAGGTAGACACATGCTTTGCAATTGTATTTATATGCTTTGGACTTTAATAAATTAATACTTTCATTTGAAGTCTTTTAAACCTGCTTGGAGTTCTGGGGGGGTTTTAAGATAATTAGCATCAAGGTATCCCATTTCTGTTAGAGGGAGACCTTTGCAGTCATTGGGGTACTGGTATTTTGTTTGATTTGGGCTTTTTTCCCTTATACTTTCTTAAATTTCTCCAGGGTCTAGAACCACTTGGGATGCAGGGGGTGGATGGAAGAAATGCCTGATGAATACAGCTGTTATCCAAGTAAGTATCCTGCTGTATAGAGACATAACAGATAAAACATCAGAAGCCCAAAGGTCCTGAGGGAGTCTGACACTGACAGATATTGGGTTTGATCTCATCTGTGTAAAAAACCCAGACCAATAAAAAAACCCCCAAACAAATCAACAAATAAACCAACCACTTGGCTACAGGCTCTGTGCTGCATTGTCCTGGGTGTTAGTGACAGTGTCCTGCAGCTTGCTGTGTGTGAACACGACCATCTGGGTCTTTCACAATGCTAATACAAAGCTACATGTCATATTACTTACTGTTAAACATTGTGATCCTATTGCTATTAATAGGTGGGGCAGGGGGTTAGGGGGCACGGTTGCAGTGGCCACAGAGGGTGCAGACAGATTTTAAGATGCATATTATATAATTACCACAGGAGTACCAGCACCTGACACTCCCGGTAATGCAGAAACTCAGCTCTACTGTGGTGCTCTTTGTCCATCACTAACAAGAGCTAGCTCTTTTTTCTCCCAGAGCTGAGAGGACTGTATGGTTTGAGACAGGATGTGATAAATTGCTTTATGTATTTTCCCTTAAAGAATTCCCCTGGGTGTTTTTATTTAAGCAAATGAAAACTTAAAGGCACTTGTATATGTCCATGTTTCAGTGAGTGCACTTATCTGGAGTATTGGATTCTTACCCCACCCCTTTATGGAGACAGACACACAGACACACAAATAGTTTACATGTGTGCATTCAGGTAGGGCTGATGACAGTTGCTATAATTAAAGTCACCAAACACTTCCTGTTACAAGAAACTGAAATAGGGTGTTGTAGCTCTCCAAAACATGAATTCTGAGGGCAGGGTTTTCTGTAACAGGCCCATACAAACTATATATCTATATATAGTAATTTCAGCAAGAATGTTTGGTTGTTTTACAACTGAAACATCACAAAACAAGGTTTCCTTGTCTCAAAAAAGGTTTGTGTCATTAGAAGGCTCTAATATTTCCACTTTCAGAGTGAGGCTTCCAAATATGAACAAAGAAGTGAGTTTCTGTTAGGGATGCTCCTGTTGTTGTATCTATTAAAGGGAAAAAAAAAGAAGAAAAACCCACAAAAAACTCCACATTTCCACTGTCAATCAGACTAGAAGTCTTTGAAAATATCTGATTTGCTGGAGTTCAACAAAGTTTGTAAGTTTGACAGCTAAGTCTTTCAAAGCTTCTGCTTGGATGGGTCATGGTTTAATACAGGACTGAAACAGCCTGCCTGGTAATTACATATAATGTCAGGCCTGTGTGCTACCAACAAAAGGAAGGATTTTATTTCCCCTGTTCAAGAAGAAAAGCCCCTGCTGGGCACCAATACCAGAAATATGACCCCTTCACAGGAATGAGAGCTGGAATTTGCTGAGGAAGCAGGCGTACACTAGTGACAATGTGAAATGTAGCGAAAGGGCAAAAGCTAAAAGTGTAGAGATGGCGGAGGGAAAGGGGGAAAAAAAGTTTGAAAGCAGTGAGAAAAGGAGATGGAGACTGCTGGGCAAGATGAACAAGAATAACAAAGATGGGGAGAGAGATAAAGTTTGTGTGAAGAAATAGAAGAGATTGCAAGACTGGTTGGACTAGAAAAATGGAAATTAATGGAACAAGAGACAGAATTATGAAAAGCACCTAAAATACCTAAAAAGGGTGGTATTGGTAGAAACATCTGAAAGGGGAATACAGAGGTGACACTGGGGAACTGGTAAGACCATTTCAGGCTGGGAACCAGCATGAGAAGGGAAGCTGAAGCTGAGGAAAGGGAAACACAGACAAGGTGAAGAGCTGGTAGAGTAGAAACCAAACCAGTTTGAGAAATGATGCAATGAACAAGAGAAAAAATGTGGACTCTAATAGACAATGCTGTCACTTATTAGTTGCTAATTTTTGTTTGTCATAAACAAGGCATCCAGAATTAGTGTATTTTTCCCTTCATCTAATTTCCTTGTATCTGTTTCCCTTTTGTAAACTGGGAATGTTTCTGTCCCCTAACCTCAGAAAACTGTTGGGAAGATAAATGGTATCATGTTTGTGAAGCACTCACACTAATGATGAGCACCACAGAAACACCCAAGAGGAAATTAATAATTCTGTCTTCAGAATCCCATTTGTAAATGTGCAGTAAATAAGGCCTGGGGCAATATGTTGAGCAACAAGCAGAAAGCAAAATATTGGATTGCTGCTCATTAAGTGAGCACAGTCCATTCTATGCCCAAAAGGAGGTAGGAAAAATGCTGTTGGAAAAAGAAATATGCTTGTATCATCAAAGGCTATTTCATAATTCACACAGAAAAGAGAATCTGAGCTGAGGCAGCACTAGCAATCTTAATTCTTTCCTAAGCCTAAGAAAATTTGTCTTTATGACCTAATAATGTTCTCGTAGTATTTTTGTGTTTGTGAAGTTGCATATATACGTAGCATGAAAGGTTGTCTCATGAAGCTTGGAAAGCACAAGAAAGCAGTATGGTTTAAAGAACAGATTTCTGTTCTGTTCAAGTAGCACAAAACCAATTTCACTGTTAGAATGAGATCTGAGATATGTAATTGCATGTTATCTGCCATGGGCATAATTATAACTGTACTATAAATGCACTAATCTCACTTTTCATGCCCATCCAGCCTTCTCTAGCACACTATTCCATTGCAAATTTAAAAGCAGCTTTAACATGCTAAAAGGAATGAGCCAGGAGTAGTCATGATGATCAGGATGCTTTTTCCTGCTAAGTTGTATTTTGTTGATAAGTAAATATAGGATGGAGTTGAAATGGCCCCTTCTTAATAAAGTGATGTTTGTAGTTCTACAGATAATTCACTTAGCAGTACTACATTACCTGGCAGACTGAGCTGGATTCCTCTGAATTAAGGATATGAAACGTGTACCTAGTGTTCTAATTAAAGCTGAAGGCCATTCATCTCTCTAATTGCAACAATGCCCTCCAGGATAATTTCATCCCAAATGTACCATTCTTCTTTTGTCTGAACAAGTGACTTAAAAACCATCTGGAGCCTTGCCAAGCACAGAGAGAAAAATTTATTGGCTGTGATATCACACTGGAAATCATTGCAGAAAGCTGAAGAGGTCAAGCAAAGTGGTGAGGTATTTCTATTGGGCTTCGGGAAGTATTGACATTTAATGCCTGAACACTGGCAGTCAAATCATCTAATTTTTCCCACAGACTAGTAGGAGTCATGTGTTAGTAAGCAAAGACTTTCTAAAATGCTCTGTAACCTTTGGGGCTGCCAAGTTTTTAATTCTTGAGGGGGAAAAAGCCCAGGTGAGTGAATTAGGCCTAGGAGCAGGATGAGGAAAGCTGCAGAGTGCAGTCAGTGGAACCAGCCTCAGGAAATGGGTTCCTTTGTAAACCAGACAGCTTAGTGAGCAGAAGTCATAGGATTGCTGGGGCTGGGTTTTACAGACCCAGCATACTCTGTAGACTTACAATTTATTTGCACTTTGTAGGGCATAACCTGAAAATCTAAAAAGGACAAGAGTGTGCTTCTTGATCCTTTGGAGGCTGAGTTTATCACTGTCAACACTATTTTACATATCTGAATGATTCATTTTAGTCATAGAGTACACCACTGCTGAAGATTAAGTGACACTAAATATCACTTACTTGGCCTAAGAACAGGCACTAAGAGGCTTCAACTTCCATTTAATGTATTCTCTGGAGTGAGAATTTTCTTTCTGTGGTCTACCAAGCTATTAGAAACAGTGGGCATAATTTCAGAAAGGAAAAGAACTAAAGAGCTTCATGACCTCAGTAAGGGAAACTACAATTTGTAGAATATGAACTTGATGGTTCTGTGTCATGTATTTTCTGCCTCAACTAGTCACGTGCTGCTGCAGCAACATGTCAAAGAGTTGAATTGAGGTATAAATCCTGAAAGAGTGATAACATCTTTACTGAGAATTGGGAAGTTATCAACCAAAACCTTTGGGCAATGAGGTTTTTATTATCACACCTAGTTTTCAAATGCAAAAAACGTGAGAATTCAAACAGGGGGGGTTTCATGCAATTTAGTGTGGCTTTTAAAAAAAGAAAACAAGAAAAAAGGACAGAAGCTGTGGTCCATTTGAATTCTGGCATTTCAAGGCGGGGGGGGTCTGTGATAAGTCCCAAATGGTTCATATGTTACTAGCAGCCAGAACCTCTCTCTTTTAGAAATCAGTTTGTGCTTCATAGCACCATATGATGTGACAGAAGGGATGAGGCATAAATGAATACAAACCTAGGTACAACTTCATAAGATCTTCTCTCCCTCTTTTAATCTGTTAAGAGCTAAAGCTTGAAAAGCATTTTTCAACCCAGACTTTCTTTTGCTGGAACACATTGAAAATCAATTTTTTCCATTGACAGACCTTGTGCACACCAAGAATACGATTTGTTCTCATTTTTGTGGCTAAGATACAGAGATTTGACAACTCCAAAAATTCTTAGTGTATGTGGAGGTTAAATTTCATGCTGTTTCTGGGATTACTGTGTCCCCCAGTACACTGGGAGATGCAGCTAGTGTCACTTGAAGTGTCCCTAGGCAACTACTCGAAAGGTGGCATTCTGCTGTCTATTAGCAGTGGCAAAGGTCTTGCAGTAATGGTCACAACACAAAATAAAGAAGGAAATGGTGGAATGATGGAGGAGGAGGTCCTGCACAAACCTGTAATCACTGACTATACCTTCCTCTGGGGGAGAAGGAAGATGCTTGCAAAAGGCAAACTAAAATAGGGGGAAGAAAATCAACATTCTCAGCCTCCTAATGAAGATTTTGTGCAGTTTCTCTCCTATATCTTACCCTGGACACTTACCCAGGAGCCAGATGTTGGCTCTGGTGGGACAGATCCTTCACTCTGGTAGAACCTGGGAGTGTTGCATTAAAAAAGATAGTAAAATTTACACTCTTGAGAGCTGTTTATACCCTGGTTCTGCAAGATACTTTTTTCTTTGTCTAGTTTATATACCTGAGTACTCCTATTAAGATCAGTCTACTTAGACATTTAAAATTAGGCTCAGAATTAGTACTTCGCTGAACCATGCGTTCAGTGAATGAAAACAACATTTGGCTTTACAGTTGCTGATTTTTCAAAGCCTCAGTGAGGGAAAAATAGATCATTAATGTTTGTCTTGGTTTTGTTCTGCAGTGAACAATAGGCTTTAGCAACAATCTGACTGGTTCATGTACAGTTATGATCCAAAAATAAGGTCCAGGTTTCAGTCAGTGATACTCTTTGTACTGTAAATGTTTGATAGTGAAATAGTGAAACTTTATCTTTGGGCAAATTGCAAGAGCAAACTTCAAGTAAATTGAAGTGGGGTTTTTAATGGAATCTATAAGCTGTCTAGAAAGGTACATAGGAGCCTGGAAAAATGCAAGATTGAAAAGCATGCCATTTGTTATAAATAGAATGGCTTTCCTTAGTCACTGTTTCAGATCGCTCATCTTCTGCTCAGACAGATGGAGGAAAAGCTTCAACCCAAAGCAGTGTCAACATCACTGCACGAGTCAAACATATGAGGGCAGGTGGGACCAGAGAATGGTTTACAGCTGGCACGCAGCAGTCCCATTGTCTCTGTTGGTGACAACTTTGTCCTATTTCTCAGTGAATGTGTTGCTGCCACTATGATGCCACCATGATGCCTGGGGAAGGATGTTGTTCATATTTGGTTGATGAAACGAGATATGTTAGTTTGCCCCATCCCTACTTATTGCTGGATTCCACCCTAGATAATTGGATGCCATTCCCAGAGCATACACTTGCAGTTCTCTTGAGTTCCAGAATAAAAAATACCAAGTATTTCTGCTGGAGAGTTACTGTGTTTGTCATTTCCTTTTTCTCTACTAAAATACCAGAAGATAACTGTATTTTTTCCTTTATTGTCATGTATGATCTCCTGCTCTTCAAGGACAGAGATCACTTGTGTGTGAGAAAGCGAGAGAGCAATTGCTTATTGATGTAATGGAAGCAAATGATCATAATGTAAAGGGCAGGTAAAGGACAGCATTCTTCTGAAAGATATGCAGAGCCTCTCCTGCTTCTTCTGAGGTATTTGCAAATATTGTCAATTAGTTGCCCTAAGGTGAGTTTGAAAATGCACTACCAGAGTGAAAGTTCAGAATATGAGTAATTAAGGAAGTCCTTATCACTGTTCTCATTTTCTCTCTTCTGTTTCAATGGTGTTTTGTCTCCTCTCCACAAACATGACAACAGCCCTGAATGCTGATAAAGCAAAGCTTGGCAGAGTCCCAGGCAAGCTGTCTTCTTCTGAGACTGCACTCAGCTGAGCTTCTCACTTGTCTTGCAGGTATGTGATGATTTTCATAGGCTGGACTGGTCACCTTCATTAGCAAATGACGAGAATTGGGATTTCTGATTATGGTTATGCCTGTGTTTGCATACCAGTATTAAATATATTTAAGAGATCTTTTCTAGGCAGACATAAGCTCATTCTGCTTGTGCTCCAAGCCAACGTATTGGTCTGTAGGAGAAGAGTTTATTAGTTCAGGCTGGTGCCTTAGTACCTGTGGCTACAAGGTCTTGGTGTGAAGTACAGAGCAGATAATTCACCTGCTGCACAGGCATAACTTCGAGTGTCCAAAGTCACATCCTTCAGTATGACTTGAGTTACCCCTGTGGGAAGGCAGTGACTCCACCTTTGTCTTGTTCCATTTCCAGCCTGGGATACCTGTGCACTACCAGTGTACACCAAATGCTGGTGGCTGCAGAAAAGAGATCTTTCCCCTCAATCGGAGGACAGCCATGGCTTGAGGTTCTCTTAAATTCAGCCCAACACTCTCAAATGCAGATGGTATTAGAGGCATTTTGAGAGCAATTTCTGATTTTCTCAAATTGACTCATTGTTTATGACAATTTCGTATTAGTTTTGGTTAACTATTTTCAACAGTTTATTGCACAGCTGAGCGAGTTAATATACAGGCATTGCAGTAGTTATTGCATTAGAAATTTTCAAGGGAGTAAACAGTAAGTAGCTAATAGGTAGTGCCTTCTCATCCACTAATATAATAAAATTCACCTGAGACCTGAAAGTTGTTGTAGAGAATCAGAGAATCAGCTAGGTTGGAAAAGACTTTTAGTATGTTATACAACACCGTACTGGTCTACACTTAGAGGGGAAACAAAAGAAATAATGAGAGGCCAATAACTGATTAAATGACTGGTTCTACATAAAACAGGCACTTGTGGGGCTGAGAAAGGTTAGGCATTCCAGAAACAGATTCTGGAAGGACTTGTAAGAATTCTGTCAGAGCAAGAAGTAAAATCCAAGCATCCCATGTCTAATCTAGTGCATTTTTTTATAAATACTGATTATTTTTCCATTGCTATAGCTTATATTACTGTTTGCAGTGTGTTTCTGCACATGACCTTATGTATGCTTTCCTCTGCAACTTGTATATAAATCAGAATGTTCAGATCCTAGCTCGCTTTCACCTTTCAGACCCATTTTCAGATACTCGGCAGGACTGCTTAACAGCTTTCTATTTAGCCTTGTTTTGCAAGTGTCCCGCAGGAAAGCCTGCTTCACTCTGAGGCATCCTGACAATGCCTGAGTCATTCTCTGTTTCACATTGCACTGAATCATTTGTAAACCACTTCACAAGTCATTGTTTATTTAGAGAAGTTAGTTTAAAGCCCCCCACAAAACAGTTCTGCCACTCAGAGGCTTATATCCAATAATACAAAACTGCAGCACTGGCCAAACTGTTTGTATGTGATAACTAGAGCTAAATCCACACGCTTTTATTTTCTTCTCCTCCATTTGTTATAATCAGAGTCTCTGTCTAATCAGTTGCTTTAGAATCAATATTTACAATAAAAGCTCATTCATGTGTTGTTTTCTAGTCCTTGACAAGACGACAAAAACATTTTAAACAAAACAAGAAGGAATGCAAAGTGTCAGAATTACTTTTTCGATCAATGAAATTTCTTGCTAAAAATGCATTAATGCTTTGGGACAGACCGTGTTTACAAACACCAAGCATTTGTCTGACGTCCGGAGAGCAGAACTCTACTTGCGTTTATCGGCAAACTTGGGGAACATTTCTGTTCCCTAAAACTACATTAAAAAACGAGAATATTAACCAAGTTTGGACACCTGTCATTTGGGGCACTCAGTGTATTATATAGAGCCTGCAAACTCAAGGCAGTTTATTGCAGTATTTATTTTGACTGATGCTTAAACAATGCTTAATATTGCCCCTTCTGATGGCCGAGTAATGCGCTAACATATCAGAGAAAGTGTGTGGTGTAGGAGCTGGAGCAGGTCAGAACAGAATACACAGTTCCAATACAATAGTCATTCTCCAGAATGCACAGATAACTTCAGGGAATCAATTAACATTTTCTCTGTGCATCCTACATGCAAAGGATAATGATTATAAACCTAACAAAACATAAAGACTGAAACCTTCTTTCCTGTTGGATATTAAACTGGACTCTCACTACTTAGAAAATCTCAGTGCTCTAAATAGCTCACCGTCTCCATGGCAATGTGCAGTTCAGTTTTTAACTTTTCAACACATAAAAATGGTAATTTATTTGTTTTAAGCACTCCTGCAGTTGTCATGGCTATGAAAGCCTCAGGATCGGGCACTTCCCAGGAGCAGCGGAGCCCTCAGGTTAAAGACTGGGTTAACTGCCAGGAAGTGCCCGACCTGAAGGTCATTACTGCCTAATTATATTATTATTTCCTGGCAGCTCAGTTTGTGAAGTAGCACTCAAGCATGAGGCAGGCAGCACTTGGAGCATTCAAAGAAATTTGGTTTCTTTTGTTCTCGATGTTAAGGACTTTTGTAAACGAATGCAGCCTGTGATGATGTAGAGGCGTAATAAATCCTGTGCCCAGAGTGCCTGACTTTCACAGCTACTGCAGTTACAACGTTTTGTGGGTTTTTTTCCCAATTTGTAATAAGGGTGCACATTGTCACCTCCTTGAGGACACAAAGCAATGAGTTTGTATTTTCAGCGTTCTTTCTGTATTATTTAGTCCTTTGATCGCTTGGCTTTCTGCTGTAAAAAACATTGGCCTTGAGACTGTCAAAGCCCTTCCTGGTGAAGTGCTAAGCATTTTGGTTTCAATCCAACAGAGCACTCAGGCAGATGCTCAGCTTCGAGTATGCAGGTAATTTTTACTGGAGACTAGAAAAAAATCTCTCATCCTAACCTCAGAGACTTGTGCGATTTTCTTGACTAGAACTGGAACATTTAGTGCCCATGGGATTTAACCTGCGGATCAGCAACCCCTCAGTTTTCAGCTCTGAAAAGAACTTGAGAGAAATTCAGCTTTTTTTTGTATTTTGGGTAATAATGAGGTTGGCACCCTTCACAGATTTCATACAACACTAAGTGGGGTACAGCCATGATGTTTTAGGAACAAAGGCACTGGGAATGTTTATTGCAGATTCAGACTTGCTTAGGACCAGTCTTTAAGATGTAGAAATTGTGAATAGAAGGGTTAATCAATTCCCACTAAAATGACCTTCATCAACACAACCCTTTTTACCATCTCCTCAACTGGCATGAGCTAATGGCCACTCATATGTCTCAGCCACAACAGTAAATACATTCAAACTAAGAACTTGAACATGCTTAATTGTCTTCCTGAAACCCACATAAATACTTGGACAGCGGAGGACCAGAGTTTACTCTCAAAGTGTGAACAAAAGGTTTGTAGATTATGTTAAGTTACAAAGTATAGTTGGGTGAATGGGGGTGAGATGTTAAACTGATTCTGGGAAATGATTCTTTTCTCACTTGTTCCTACAATGTGCTTGGCTTTTCTGTGTAGGAATTCTCCAACTGTGGTTCACAGACCAGCACAGGAAACTCTTCTCTGTCTATAATTTCTCTGGAAAATTAAGATGTAGGATATCGAGGCTGGGAAAGGATTGGTAATAGTGTTGATTACTGCCCTCCATAGCACCAACCATCATGAAACAGATTACAGAGTGAGCACTGTAGAACAAGTCACATCCGTGGAGTTCAGTGATTCCCCATCCGTTGCCATCACATGGTACAGCTTTCTTTTATTCTCCCCTGGGTATTCAGTCTTCCAAAGCCAGGAACATACATCTTCGGGAGATAAAGTTGCAACAGAATTTTGAATAAACTGAACATGGAAATGCTTCTGGCTCAGCTAACAGAATGACGTTGTGGCCTTGGAGAATGACACCATCTGCAGGCTGGCACCGCGGGAAATGAAGATGCAGGATTAGAAGGAGTTTGAACGTGTAGGAAAATGATGGAGAAACTGCTTTGAAATGCTTACTCACGTCCTTCAAATCTTCAAGCTGGACAACAGGGGTTATGTACGAGCTTGAAAGAAAAGCACTTCCCAGTGAGTATGTTTACTTTCAGTTTTGTAATTAGCCTCATTGGAGAACCAATCCAGAGACTTCTGGGCTCGGAGGGAGTGTTGTCATCATAACTGATCAAAATAAGGATTCAGGTTTATACCAGTGTAATAATAAGGGTTTACAGTAGGACTCCTAGTGTGATCTTGAGTCTTATTATTTGCATCTCAGAAAATAAACTCATTCCTCCTAAGCAGACATGAACCATAAAACCTTCTCATAAGGCTGGACGGGGCATCCTAGAATAAAATAACTGACCATGGATTCACTGGGAGTGTTCAAGGCCAGGTTGGACAAGGCTTTGAGCAGCCTGGAATAGTGGAAGATGTCCCTGCCTGTGGCAGGGGGTTGGAACTAGATGAGCTTCAAGTCCCTTCCAACCCAAAAAGTTCCACGAGTCTATAATCTTTTTCTCTACTAGTTTGTTTCTTTGTTGAGGTTTTTTAAAACTATGATGTTGCCATGAAGTTCTCTGGCACCAGAAGTCATTCTTTTGCCTACAATGAGAACAGAATCTGGCGTTTCGCCACTGGAATAGCCAGATACCATCAGAGAGCTTTCTGGAAACAAACTCTTTAATCTGTATCATTTACAAAGAAATAAACAAGACGTCTGGTCTTTTTGGATAGTGTCCTGGGTTCAGCAGTAGCAGTCATTTTTCTCCTTCTTGGTAGCTGGTACAACGCTGTGTTTTTGACTTTCAGCCTGGGAACGGTGTTGATAGCACCGATGTTTTTAGTTACTGCTCAAATGTTTGGTCTGACCAAGGACTTTCTGAGCCTCATGCTCTGCCAGGGAGGAGGGAAAGCCGGGAGGAAGCAGAGACAGGACACCTGACCCAAACTGACCAAAGAGGTATTCCATACCACAGCACGTCATGTCCAGTACGTAACTAAGAGTCACCCGGTAGGGCTAGTTGACTGCAGGGTTGGACTAGGTATCGGTCGGTGCTTGGTCGGGCTGGGGGAGCGAGTTATTGATCAGCGGGTGGTGAGGTGTTGTATTCTCTTCCCTTGTTATTTCCTTTATCATTACTATTACTGGTGGTAGCAGTACTGATTTGTGTTATACCTTAATTATTAAACTGTTCTTATCTCAACCTGTGGGAGTTGCATTCTTTTGATTCTCCTTCCCATCCCTCCAGGAGCAGGGGGAGGACAAAAAGGGGGGGAGTGAGAGAGCAACTGCATGATTTATGGCTGACTTTGTTTAAACCACAACAGATAGATACAGTGAAAGGACATATATGCAAGCATATTAAAACAGTATCAGAAAAGCCAGAAACAGGCTACAGCTTTTAAACCTATTCACTGAATTTAAATGTCCATGGGTATATCATATTAGAAAATGGGCACAAGCAGAATAGAGATGGATCCATATCAGCACACAGAGACACTTAGAACACTTTTTCACTGCAAGGTACCATTCCTGTACCTCCACTCCTCAGTTCTGGTTTCAAGTAGTTCTGAACAGATTTGTATTTCTATAGACATGGCAATCATTTACAATATTTAAGAAATGTTGCAAGGAAACATGCATCTCTGAGGTGTTCACCTTGCTTCCCACAGCCAAACTGGTAGCTGTGTGGTTTGTGTCTTGTGCTGATGCGAGTGCTTGTAAAATCCTAATTCACAGCTAAATCTCATATATAGAATGACACGGGGTGAAACTTGGGTTTTGGTTATTTGTCACTGTTCCTCATAGCAAATGGAGGGACATCTCCATTTTCTTCCTGCCCTGCCCAGGTTGCCATATGCATGCATGTTCACAGACCAGTGAGGCACTTGCGATGAGCCCATGCCAAGGTGTCAGTCAAAGACCTGGGAAACTTGCAAAAAAACCTGTTCTTGTGTTGGGCTAATTAACTTTTGGTGTATTTGTAATTGTCCCTATTAGTTAGAGGCACATGTTAGGAGCAGCACTAAAAAGATGGTAGCAGAAAACCAGATAAAAGGGAACTTTAAGGACTGCCTGTATTTGAAAATATAATCAAAATTGTTAACCAGAACCAAAACAAACTTGTCAGGGCACTCAGCACACTCAAACCTCTGGTAGTTAGCATCACTTCAAGATACTGCTATGCCTAAGCTTGACCAGCTGGAAAGACTGTGAACTTGACCACCCTTCTTCTTGCCCAGTGCTCTGTGCGGAGCCAGGCAGCATATGCTGTAACATCATGGGGTTTCCCCTGAAGATGTGCCCTCAAGTTCTAGGCAACTGTTAGTGGCAGCCATAAAAAAGGCATCGCGATCAGTTTAGTATCCTGACCTGGCACAAATGCTAATGGCAGATGCTGGTGCCCTCTAGTAAGGAAATAGCTGTCTGCTCTGGATGAATATACTGGAAAAAAAGGAGGATCCAATTCATTTTCTACTTGATGTGTGCATAAATCAATTCCAGTCCACATGGAGCAAAAGGAAAAGGGCTATGAGCAACATAAACCAACATTTCAGTTTATAAGTCACCAAAATTATCCCAAATCATTATGATCACTGTTTATTCCTCATAATTACAGTTGTGAGTTTGATTCGAATCTTAGTGAAGTCAAAGCAAGGCATACATTGATTTCAGTGTGCTTTGGATAGGATGAAAGACAAAATAATTTTGTGTTCCATAGAGCAAAACATGTAATATGCCCCAAGACCTTTCTCCTAAAACATTAAAATGTATGAGTAACTCTTCTCACATGCCAGTTCCACTATATGAAGATATGCAGCTGCATATGCTACCCTCCCTTAGAGCAGCAACCCAAGTTCTGTTTCTTCACTGTCACCTTTGGTTATTTGTAGCTTGAAAATTAATGTAAGTATTAATATAGAGTACAAAAAGAAATGAGGCAATTTATAAATGACTCCTTTCTCTGAATGTTACCTAGAAATTTACAACTCAAGGCACTACAATCATAGAAATGAAATTAACTGCCCACTTGCATGATTCACTAAACATATTTCCACAAAAGCAAAACATATTTGTCTTTTGCTCATTACAGGCATATTTTTTTCTGACCATGTAATAGTGTCCCTGCTTTGACTTTGCCCAGGGCTTAGCCCAGCTTTACAAGTATATTATACCCTCAGTAGCTTGCTGCTGACTCCCTGAAGGTATGTTTTCATGGATGGTGTTTTCCAAGGCCTGTCCAAAATGTTGTATGACTAACTTATGTTCCATGTTCAGCTGAGTCAGAATTCCAGCATGTGCAACACCACTATCAGAAATATGAATAAAATGAAATGGAAAGATAAATATGTTTGTAGGAGGAGCAGCCAGCCCTAGCATTAGGGTGTGTTGCACATTCAGTCAAAAAGAATAACATGGCTTTATGAGTCATAAAAACAAGAATAATCACAAAGGGCTCTGTTATTGCCCTGAATGTAGATAAGGACTTGGCAAAACATTTACAATAAATTTTCTGGTGTCTTTAATGGGTGGAATTTCTTTAAGAATCACTGCTTTCTTTCTCCTCCATTTCTTTCAAGGCATGGCTCATATTTTATAGCTCAGGAATAGCAGGCTGTGATTAAATTTGTATATGGTGGTTTTTTAAGTCTTAGATATGAAAAAGAAAGAACAGAAAATACACAGTCTTTTTTCTGCTCCTACATAGTGACTCAGATTTGTTATACTTAATCATTTCCATTTCATCAATGTAAGACCGACTGCTATGGCATGGTATGTTACAGGGTAGATAATAAGATATGCACTATTGTCATTAGCTTTAAGACGTCAGGGTGATCAGGAGTCACAGAGGTTAAATTTTATCCTTCCTTCAGAAAGCAGTGGCTTGACTGCTACCCAACTTGAAGCTTAGACTATTTGTGTATGCAGTAGACTCATACCAACCTTTTGCAACAAAAAATACAACTGTGCCAATTGTCATTCTGTGAGATGTACCTCACCCATTCAAACCCTGTATTAATTAGGCTTAAACTGTCTCTTGTGATTTGACAAAGCAATATTGAAATCACTTTTTTCAAATCAATATTTCACTTCTTGGTGTCTCCAATTAGTACTTAAAAAAATGAAAAAGAACACTGCAAAAACAGAGCTTTAGTGAATATGAGTATTTTTCACTGAAATATGTATGCTTATGACAAAAAAAGATGCATATCCTTCAGGCAGAACTGAGGTTCACTGTAAAGCTTTCTGCGTATAGATACAGAGAACAGAATTTGGAGCTCTTTGTACAAGCTACAGCCTGTAAAAATGCAAAATAACCACTTTATTTTGCCCACTTAAAATTGTTGCCCAGTTCCTGTATTTCCTTTGCCCCTAGCCTTGCCTGTGCAGTTCCAGTGGCCAGTCACATGGTCCTGCAAAAGCTAAGAGGAACGGGAAGAAGTAGTGACAGAGTTTGCAACATCTTTGAGGCCATTAAAGTGGATCCATAGCCTGGGCAGAGCTTCCTGCCCTACCAAAACTTTTAGAAGCACTTCTGTCCCACTTTCTTTGCCTAAGGAAGTTGTGACTGCCCCATCCCTGGCAGTGTTCAAGGCCAGGTTGGACAGGCCTTGAGCAGCCTAATCTAGGGGGAGGTGTCCCTGCCCATGGCAGGGAATTAGAACTGGATGATGTTAAGGTCCTTTCCCTAACCATTCTCCGATTCTATGATCTATGTATTTGGGCTTAGCCCAGAAACCATCAGCGAAAGCTGCGAGAAGAGCAGTGACTTTCCACAGATTTCAAAGAAGCCCATCTTTTGGGTATTGCCCTATAGGTCTCCTGGGTCATAGGAAAATAATGCTGCCCCAAAACCTCCTGGGGGGGGGGCAGTAGGGAAGCAGAACAGTGCCATAGGGGAAGCAGGATTTTACACTGCTGTCTTTTGGGTACCTTGGTGAGATTCCTGCCACAAGTCCTATAAAAGCCATTGCAAAGTTGTGTGACCACATCCTCCTGCAAGGGCTTCAAAACCTGCCTGTTTTATGTCACCCTAATGAAGCCTGTTGTGGTTTAACTGGATGTTTATAGATGATGGGAGAAAGACTGCTTCATTAAGTCACCTAACCTTCTATAAAGTGTTACAGCACAAGCAGAGCAGTCACAACCCTGCTGTGACAAATCAAAGCCTAATGAGTGAGCAAGAGTATTAAAGATGTGTCCCAAACCATGGTAACTCATTACTGTAGCTGCCCGGCTTATACAGTAGCTTAGGAATGCTCTGTCCCTGTTTCCCATACCTGTGGTTAAAATGACATTTCTTTGTGTTTCCTTATAGATGACACTGCCCTAGAAAGGTAACATCAATATCTGATCTGCCAGCAGAGTGGCTGCGTTACACTTGGCCCTGTACCTGCTCTACCCAGGTGGCACAGAAGACAAGCTGGAACTACTCTTTGCTGGTTTTCCCTCCCCAGACTGCTGGGAGGTCAGGCTGAGGTGCCCTGCAGCTGAATGGTGAGTGATGAGTGAACCTCACGTAAGCTGCCTGGCTTTCTGTGACATTAGTTTCACTTCACTTCTTGCATTCCTTTTAAGTGCAGCTGGTTTGAAGATGCATTATGATTCTATTAAAAAGGACTGATCTTCCAATAGACCATACCTTCATGCTACAATTCTCTTGTCAGGAATTCAGATCCTGTTTTGCACGAGTAATCAGAAATAGAGGTAGTCTAACTTTGCTTTAAGTAAGCATGCCATAGGGAAGTGAGAGGGAAGGATGCACTTGGTGGTGAGAGGGGCATGTGGTGGTGTTGCTAAGGGGCTGTACGTGTTCCAGGTGCCACGTATGCAGTCTTGGTTGATGACACAAGGAAGAGTTTTCCCTTTTATACATGTGATGTATTTGCAAAGCCACGCTAAGGGGTTCTTGGATAAACTGCTTTGTATTGCCCAGAATTGCATGTCATCGTCCAGCTACTCAGTCAGCCTTTTTTATCTGCTCATTTATAGCACCTAATTCATTTATGATTCAGTTAAGATTAGATGTTGTTTTGCCAGATCATAATTCTCTGTGGCTTAGTGTTTTGTGTATAAAGTAGAAAGGAAGCTGTACCAGCTCTTGATGTATCCCCTTTTGCAACAAGTGAAGAACACTAAACACGAAGTCTTCCAATTGGATATGATGTTTCAGTGGAGGTTCATCCACTCATCTCTTACCCAGAAACGCAAGGTTTCTCAATTTTTTTAATTAAAACAATACCTTCATTTTAAAGCTGAAAGGTCAGACTGTGCCATCGGTTTAATTGGATTTGGCTGTGGCCACTTTAACGTTCATTTGTCACGGAAAGGCAGATTTAGGGTGATTTTAGTCAGTCTTAAAACTCACAAACAGAGGAGAAAAGGGTTTCTGGCGCGGTGAGCAGCTTTGGAGATGCCGCTGTGAGTGCTGGGGCGCGGGACAAACGCTGCAGGACAAGGACAAGGACCAGGACCAGGACCAGGACCAGGACCAGGCCCCGGCCCCGCCGGGCCTTCCCCGGGGCCGTACCGACCCCCAGCTGGGGGCGGGAGCGGCGCGTGGCGCCTCAGCTTCGGGCGGCCGTTCCCACAGGAAGCGCGGCGGGAAGGGCGGGAGCCCGGTGGGAGCGAGATGTGAGCTGGGCCCGTGTCCATGGAAAAGGGCTCAGGGCTGGCGGCCTCTGGCAGAGAGCTCAGGAAACGAAGAGGCTTTTCTGGCAGGAAGCTCAGGAAACGAAGCCTTCTGCGCTGGCCAGGACAGAGGTAGAGGTCCCCCGTGAGCGGGCGTCTGGCTGTGGTGAGTGCCGGAGCCTGCCGGGGATGGCGGGTGGTGGCTGTGTAGGTGTGACCAGGCTGATGGCTTGCTCTGCGTGGTGGCAGTGCTGAGGGAAGAGGTGGGGCGGCTGAGGAGTGTGAGGGAGTCTGAGGAGGAGATTGACTGGTGGAGCCACATTCAGCGAAATTAAGGATCCCTACCCTGTTGCCACCAGAGAGATGGAGGGGACCTAAAAGATGGAGGGGGGGTGGGGGGGTGGGGTTGGGGTTAGAAGCAGGTATTACCCCCGGTTTATGTCACTTTCCCAAGTACCCCTTTACAACAGATTTGGGGTCCTGGTACTTGAGGATCAAGAAAATGAGGAAGATGATGGTGAAGTAGATAAAGGATCATCCAGGTGATGGATCTAGGTGACCAGCAGGGCCTGGGCAGTGATCAGCCTGTGCTGGGCATTGGTGAGGCCACACCTTAAATCCTGTGTTCAGTTCTGGGCCCCTCACTACGAAAGAGACATTGAGGTGCTGGAGCAGGGCCAGAGAAAGGCACCAGAGCTGGTGCACAACTGTGATGAGGAATGTCTGAGGGACCTGAGGGGGTTTAGTCTGGCAAAGAGGAGGCTCAGGGACGACCTTATCGCTCTCTACCTGACAGGAGGATGGAGCCGGGAGGGGGCTGGTCTCTCCTCCCAAGTAACAAGGGATAGGACATGAGGAAAGAGCCTCAAGCTGCTGGATATTAGGAGCAATTTCTTCCCTGGAAGGGCAGTCAGGCATTGGAACAGGTTGCCCAGGGCAGTGGTGGAGTCACCGTCCCTGGAAGTGTTCACACACCGTGTAGATGAGGCCCTCAGTGACATGGTTTAGTGGTGGCCTTGGTAGTGCTGGGGGAACAGTTGGACTTCATGATCTTGAAGGGCTTTTCCAGTCTTGTTGATTCTGTAGGTTAGGCAACATCCCTGAGGACCATGGCCAAAGACACAATTTAGGGAAGACTATCCCCAAAACTGCCTCTTCAAGAGGAAAATGAAAACAAGCTGACAATATGCCTGATGTGTTTCAGGTTCAAAACCTCACTGTTGTGAAAGCTTTTAACTTTTTCTTTTGTTTCCAAACACCAGCTGAGGCAGCCATAGCTATCAATTTCTTTGCGTCCTGTACAGTGGCATCACACATAATTAGAGGAGAGTGGCAGTTAAGGGGTTTGTTCTCCCCTGGGACACATCAATGGGAGTACAGGCTCCCCTGATTTGTGTTTCATCCTTAATTGCTTCTGAAATTACTTTGATGTGTGTAAAACCATATCTGTTTCATGTGTCATGGAATCAAATTCTTGCTCAGTGTATTGCTGCTTATTTTTGGACACAGAACAGTGAATTTTTGCATAGTTATATTGCCAAAAGAGAAAAAAAATCTATAAGAATTCCTAGGGAATACATTTTTTCAGTTAGCAGCATACAACTGATACACCATAGTGAAGCAACACAGTAACTGTGCTATCATGGTTCTTTCACTGGGTAAAAGGAGGAAGTCATCGAAGATCTGTGCCTTGCCATTCCTCAACAGATTTCTTTAAAAATAGTTTATTTGGAATGGTTTCAGTTCTTGAGGCATGAAGCAGAAAGATCTATTTTGGGAAATTAAACAGTTTTGACAGCTGTTAAAATGACTTGTAGGTTGTCAATATGGTGCACCTAAGATGCAGGTAACAAATCCTTGGATACAGTCCAAGGCTTTCGGTACTTTTGGTACAACAGGGTTTGTCTGGGGTTAGGCTGTAGTCAGGGGGAATTCAGGATTGATCACAGATGGGTACATAAACTTTGTCTCCCTTCTGGACACCTGCAGCCCTGCCCTGTTAGTTCCTGATATAGGAGCAGGGAGGCTGGCATGGATCAGGTACAGTGTATCGTGCTGTTCTGCCTTGAATGGTGCATTTCTAAACCGCCTCTCTTTTCGTGAATCACCCTACCCTAGAAACACTTCTGTCAGTGCCAACTGTATAATCCCCACAGGGATGAGAACAGCATGGGAATAGTACCTAATTAAAACTGCAGTGAAGTAGGTCAGCTAATACTTCACAAACAACAGCAAGTGCTTGAATTGTTAATAGTTCAGAGTTCTTGTATTTACTCTGAGCAACAAAAAAATTGTATTTTGCCTAGAAACACAAGGAATGTGCAAGCAGAAAACAGTTGCCACAGTGGATTACAATTATAAATATTCATGGCCTCCAGTGAGTGCTGTACGTTAACTCCTGTCAGTACATTCAACAGTGAATTAATGTTGTTACTCCCCTTCTTTTCCAAGATTGCAAGAGGATTGCCATAAGAGGGTTAAACAGTGCAAGGTGAAAGAACAGATGAGAAAGCCCTGCTTTCAGTCACATGAAATAAGACCATTGTAAAGAAAGATAATCCCACTCTCAAATGCCACAATTGCTTATGATATCATAGGACTATTTCCAGAAGGCCTGGATTCAGACTTTAGCCAAGTCTTCTGAGGCTTACTGGTCTGCAAAAGTGAGATACAGAATCACAGAATGGGTTGGGTTAGAATGGAACTTAAAGATCGTCTAGTTCCAACTGCCACAGGCAGGGGCATCCTCCACTAGAGTAGATTGTAGCCTTCTGTTGTATCTTCTTTTGCTCTGCTTTCCTCTGATTCTTTTCTCTGAGATTCATCACTTTTCTGACTTCATCCTAGGGTGGAAGTAGCAAGAAAAGCATTTTCAGTTTCAGTGGGATCAAGGAAGTGCAGTGACTGATGAAATTTGTAATCATAGTGTTCAAAATGTTAATGTTTTTAAACTCTTAGAAAGAACATGAACTATTTGATTAATTGTTTGCTATGTCTAGCTGAATGAAGAAAGGTTTAGAGGCTTCCCAGAAACAGATGACCCCATTATAGTGCAATGCAGAAGGCACTTTGCATCTGAACATCTCTGCCCCAATAGTCTTGCAACTTATCCACAGTAGTTTCATATGAGAAGCAGGTTTCCTCACTTAAAGCTGCTGTGAGCCCATGTTTCAGAGAAGAGCCCTATTTGAGCAGTGCAGAAGTATTTGATGTGATTAAAAAAAGCCCCAAACTTTTAATTTCATTTATAAATATCAACAAATCAATCTAGGACAAGACACCATAAGTTCTCAGTATCACTTTTTATGTATCTATATGCATATAAATACAGTTCAGCACAGTTGTGCAGAAGGTACTCTCTCAGCAAAGCTTTCAGGTGGTGGGGAGTTATAATCCAACCTCTTACACTATCTAAACAGCAATTCCTCAATGACTAACCCACCAGAAACATCTCCGCTAGCCTTAATGATACCTCTTGCCTTAAACACACTTCTTAAGTAGCCTTTAAATAGAGGGGGACCTCACCCCTGAGTCCCTAGGAAGTAGGCAAGAAGCTTACAGCAGTTTGGGCTAACCTCTACCTTTCTAGCCAGGTAAGTAGGTGATTTACTTCTGCTGAGTTGTATAGCTCCTTCTGGTGTTTTGAAGGACATTCTCATGCCTTTCTTTGCAAGAGGTTTTTAAGCCTTTCTGCAAACCTGGCACTTTGGTTGTCATGTGAGGTTTTGGAGCCTGATGATCATATCAGCTAATAGGATTTTGTGGCTGGCTTGAGAAACAAACAAGACAACCCCCAAAAAAACAATGAAAAAAGAGTTGCCTTTGATAACTTGAAGAAGGACAGACTTTGATCTCTCCACTGCTTAGTACTTGATTACTTCATTTAAATGATGCGTATTCCATTTGGAAGAAAAGGGGATTGAGCCTTAAAGAAGCCATGACATGTTGGAGCTTGTTGCATTCTCAAGGTGAGAAGCCTGCATTGTAACAAATCCACACCTGAGAAGCCCTTTCCAGGGAAGCGGGAGTTTTGCTGAGAGGGGATTTGCTATCTCCTTGGTGACCTGAAGTTACAGCTTTGGTCACTCTCTATTCACCCTATATTTGATCTACCAAAATAAGAAAGTTCCTAATGAAGGAGGGGAAAACAGTGAAATTAGAGTTGGGTTAACTTACCTGTCCAAGCTGGAGGCAGAAAACTGTCCACACAGGTAGTGACTGAGTTGCGTTTGCTTTGAGAAAGCACAGGCTATTGCGTTAGGACTAGCAGCAGTCCTTTACTAGTGGTGGACTGGCCTTGACCCTGCACAACCCTACCAGGCTGCATATGTCACAAGAGTCTGTATCCAAAGCCACAGAGAGCTGCTGCTGAAAAAACATCTATTCTGTGAAACATGACCAGGACAAGGCAGGAGGCATATGGCAAGTAGCTCAGTCAAGGCAGTTTTGGGTAGGTACAAACACTGTGAACAGTTGAGTAGGTAGACATCTTGTGAGCATAGGCTGCTTAAGATTTTGGCAGCTACTCAAAAGGGATTTTCTGAATCACTGTTTGAATTTAGGAAGCTCAGTGTATTGCATCCTCTTTTAGAATCATAGAATGGTTTGAGTTGGAAAGAACCTTAAGATCATCTAGTTCCAACCCCCCTTAAGGGACACCTCACTCTAGAGTGTCACCCAAGGCTCTGTCCAGCCTGGCTTTGAACACTGCCAGGGATGAAACATTTACTACTTTGGGCAACTTGTTCCAGTGCCTCACCACCCTCACAGAAGAAGTCTTAGTCCTGAATCTTTCTGATCTTTGAGTCTTCATCTATCAAATGATGACTGCAATATGCCTGCAGCCATGGCCATAGTGTAGTCTGGGCAGGTGTTAGCCTACAACATCACTGTTGGAACTTTAAATTGAACATATAAATATAGTAACAGTTCTTGCAAGGTCTTGGGACTGAAGTGTTTAAAATGACCCACATTTAAAGTGAACAAGATTGAGCTATTCACACCCTAATGGGAAGAAATTGCCTCAGCCAATCACAGTGTGCTAGCCATGTGCCTGTTTTATAAATGAGATTAATGACTCAATTTGCAGCAAATGCTTCAGCAAGGAGAAACTTATTTTGTTACACTAATTGTGTCACATATGTGCCTCCAAACACCAACTGTGCAGAACTGGATTTCCCTGTGGTGCTCAAGATGGCTGGCCTCTGTGGTTTTAGTAACACCGCTGCTTCCATTTCTTTGCAGCAACTGATCATTTTGGTGTTTGTGTTTAATGCTGCAGCATAAATGCTGGTGTTTGTAAGAAATTATCACGCACTATAATCCTCTCCATTAGTGAAAGGACAAGAGCTTCTCTCTAACACAAGTCGTTCAACCCTATTTTCCCACTGTCATGAGTAAAACTCCAACATTATTTATTTAGGCATACAATTAGTTTTTAGTTGTAATGAAATAATGAATCATTGCCAGAGCCTTTAATTTGCCTGATAGTTACTGTGATTTTAATGGCTTTTAAAAAAACTAACATTGTCCATTTATAGGGTGTAATGTATTACTTTTAAGGTGTAAATTAATTCAGAGAGTTTCATCACGTTAATAATTACACCTGCTTTTGCATTTCTTCCTAACAGGTTTGTTGGGAAAACAGGATTTGCTGACAATGGACCAGCGTCCACAGCCAGTGTAAATTAACTTTGCCACACAGAAATCTGTAAGTTGCTTTATACCAGCTAAAGTTCTGCCTCAGTTTGTCCATTATTCATCCCGTTATTCTGATGTTGGATGCAGTTGTCCTCACATTTTTAAATGCTTTTTACATTGTTATAGTTTTGATGTCAGTGGAATTACTCAGAATTCAGAGTGGGGTTAACAAGAGAATTGCATGTAAGCATACCACGATGGGATTTTCTTTCCAATGACAAATTTAAGATTCCCCCCCACCCCAACTTTTGTATGCAAATATAGTTGGTAAGAAATACAGTGTAAGTTTGAATAGTTTGTTTAGCTGTGGAATTGTAGAATTATTCTTATAAATCTGTTTCCATGCTTTGTGTGGTGTTAAATGTGCTTCTGATTTCGGCTGAAACTATTAGTGGTTCCTATATACATAGCTTCTGTCATACCATGGAATTCTCTACCCATTTACGGTGTGAAACTTTAATTTTGTATCTTGGCAAAATACTGAAATGAGGAGTACTACCTCATGTCTGGGTTGTATGTGCATTTCCAAGGTGGTCTGTGAAAAATCCAAAGTAGACACTAGTGCCTTTGAAGCCTACAAAGCAACCCACAGTGCAAGAGTAGCCTCTTTGTTGCCTGCTTTGAAAACCTCTCTGAAATAGTGTTCCAGGTTCTTTATTGAAAGTTAGCATGCCCCTCAGCTTCATCCTACCCTCCCGTGCTCAGCCTCATGACAGCAGTAAAAATGATTTGTTTGTGCTCTATTACATTTAGGTGATAGTCTTGGACAATAAACTGGGTGTTACTGAGTTCAGGGGCCTTCACCAAGTGTGATGTATAGTCTGCAGATGGACCTGAAGATGGTGCGTGGACAGTTCTCTTCTGTAAAATGGTTTATGACTGAAACACAAATGTAGGGGTGTACATGGCTGTGCTCATCATAACCATGTAGCATACAGCTGTGGAGCAGTGCTGTTAGTCATCATGGAAAACATCAAATTCACAGATGCAGCACAGACCACTGTTTGAGTGGTGTAGGGTGTGCCCTCTGTGGCCTCATTGTGTTGCTCTGTGAAGCAAAGAGGTTGCAAAGGGATTGCAAAATTTCAGAATCCAGTAGGCATCTCGGCATGGAGAAGAAAAGGCACTGGGGAGACCTTGTAACAGTCTTCCAATACACAAAGGGGACTACAAGAAATCTGGTGAGGGACTTTTTACAAGGGCATGTGATGACAAGATAAGGGGGCATGGTTTTAAACTGAAAGAGGACAGATTTTTATTAGGCATTAGGAAGAAATGCTTCCCTGTGAGGGCGGTGAGGCCCTGGCACAGGTTGCTCAGAGAAACTGTGGCTGCCCCATTCCTGACAGGGTTCAAGGCCAGGATGGATGGAGCTTGGAGCAACCTGGTCTAGTGGAAGGTGTCCCTGCCCATGGCAGGGGTTTGGAACTGGATGACCTTTAAGGTCCCTTCCAACCCAAGCCATTCTATATTTCTATGATAACTTTGCTTATAATACAAAAAAACCCTAATATTTATTTCTGTTGTCTTGCCTTTTGGAAGAGCTTTACAGACTTGAATATTGTCATATACTATGGTGTATAGTTAGCAGATTTCCCTTGCTTAGCAAGCTTCCATGAAGGAAGAGAGAACTATATTAATACGAAACCCCACTGTCAGCATGGCATCAGCTGAAAATACTTTACAGAAATGCAATGTGCTGAAAGCGTAATATTCTGCCTTCTTACAGGGGAGACTTCAGACTGAAAGGTTTTCCTTGTCAGGGTATGTGCATTTGTGTTCTGACCTAGCAGCTCTCTGGTGGTGGAGCATATCTACACAACTTTAGAAATTATGCAATACACTGATTACTTTGGACTGTCTTTTTGAACTCCTGATACAAAATGTTTAGTATAGACAGACCTGATTGCCAGTGATATAAGAGAGGCTGAGAAACATGGAAGTAATCATTTGCTATAGGGTTTGGGATTAAGTTTCCCCCACTATTTTACCTCAGTTGCTCCCATCTCCTGCTTCTGTGCCATGGTATCCATCCCCAGATCAGCATATGGGGTTTTGTTAATAACAAGGGGATGGAGATAAAATACAGTGCTGTGCATACCAGCTGAGGAGTGTGTATTTGGTGTTCTATCTGCTGCCTTATACGATGGATTTTGCTTTATCATGTAAGCCCATTACAGGAGAAGTGATTGATGGCAGTGTGATTGCAGCTACCTCAAGAAAGTATCCTGACCAAGGCTAATCTTGTATTTGTTAATACCATACTACTGGAAGGTGCTAGTTAGTATAATGCTAAAATCAGTGTGAGAAGTGAGATACTCAGTTAAAAGAGTTTATGTGTTGTTATTGCATGGCAAATCCCAAGTTGTCCGTTTTTAAAGTGAAGGCTTCGCAACTATGACTTTTGTTATTGTGTAGAACTATAGCTGCATAACACGAAGAAATACACCAGGTTTGTAGTTCTGCAAAGTACTCTGCTCCCTGTGTTCTTGTTAGCTATTAGGGAGAAAGAAACAAAACCCAGGTGAATTGATCATCCCTTTGCTCTCTTCCAATAATTTTTAGTTCACATGATGTTATTTTTCCTACTAGGCTTGCAGCCATAGCTGACAGGCTTCTTTCTGTTAGCCTCTGTGGTCTGCTCTTGCATTTCCTATACATTTCTTAGCTGCTGGGTGGATGTTATTATGGCATATCCAACCCTTGGTATAAATTATTTATTCTGAAAGTTCAGTATCTTATAACATGTCTGAAGACTCTTGCATTTATTTTTAATGCATCTGCTTTCCTGAGTGCTTTCTACATCCAGAGCTACCACTAGAGAGAACTGTCAGTCTTGAAGCAAAAGAGAGAAACTTTTAGACCATGTAATTCTATTTTTCTAGTTATAAGTGAGACCCTTCTGGTGAAGAGTGGAGCAAATGGTTGTTACTTACCATTTTGAAGAACCTGCCTTGGATGATGTGCAAATGTCTCTTTGCATTTGGTGTGAAGTCTCAGTGAGCAACTCCCTGCTCACCAGCATGTGACTTGCATGTTTATCCCTTATGGGAAGCCAGTGAAATCAGTGAAATATTAAAGGGCAGTTGTGTGACTGTTAGGTGTAAATACTGAAATCAAATAGAGATGCAGCAAGGGCAGCAGTAGCCAGGAGTTGTTTGGTTCTGGAAGGTAGTGAAGGTGAGCTGATCTCTGCTGGCAGTGGTGAGGGTGGTCATGGCTATCTGTGCAGTAAATGGCAGTTTGATCCCTTTATTCTTTCACAAACCTCAGCCTGCACCATGGATTTAAAAATGTGCAGGAATTGAATGTTAGATAGGCATTATTTGAGGGAAACATTAATGGTTGTGGGAGGATGTTCTCTTTTTTTTCTGTGGGGGTGGTTTGGCAAGGGTTTTGTAGGTTTTAGAAGTCTGTTCAAGATACCATCCTTGAATTTATGCTGATTTAGTGCTAAAACTGTACTGTGCTTAAAAAACAAGCAAACTTGCCTTATGTGAGATGTATCAGACATGTTAGTTGAATTAAAATCTGGCTTGTCTACAGATAATACAGCAAATGGAGATCTAACGGTACAAGAGACATGGTCTGTAGTAAGCATGCCCTGAAAACTGGAGGTTGATGCTCTTTAGTATTTCTACTGACCGCCTAGGCAGTGATATAATCTTGTGATTTGTAGACTTTCTCAGAGAAGAGAACTGGTAATAGTGTGAATAATGTCCAAGAGAGATTGGAAGAGGATGTGAAACTTCTGGAGTGAAATCACTGGAAAGGTTCAACAGTGATAAAAGGAAATGTTCCATATGTGCTCACATAGCATGTGTGGAGACTTAACTGTTTGTTAGCCTTTTAAGAGGCTTGTGTAATGTGATGCAAAGAAATTCTGGAACTGGAAATCAGTCCTGAAACATGGAAAGTGATACGGCAGCAATGGTTACAAGGTATGTCACAGTGCAGTAGGTGGAAGGTAAAGTTGAACCAATTCAATTTCAGAATAAGAGGAGCTTTCCAGGCACAAGAAGAAGGAACAAAGAAGGCACTCCATAGAAACTGGATCATTAAATGCTGAGAGAGTTTACCTGATGAGTGGACACCAGGAGTCTTTCAAATTCATGTCACAGAGAATTTTAAGCTGTGCTATCTGTGTGGATTAATGGAGAAGAAAACAAAATTTTCTGCTTCAGTCTTAGTGTATTCATGAAATTTTGGGTTTGAATTCCCTAGTTAGTACTTGCAGTTAGTTACTGAATTTTGTGCTTCAGTCAATTGTCTGCAGGCCTTAAAGGGTGTGTATGAGTTTATTAATATCTTTTATTCCCCCCCCCCCCCCCCCCTTAATGTACAACTAGAGAGATGCAATCAGAGCTGGAAAGAGGCCAGAATTCAAAGCCTGGAAATCTATGGATGGATGCTGCTCAGTCCATTCTCTGTTTCATTATTCTTAGCTACCTGGCTAAGAATGTGCATGCTCAGGATCAAATTCTAATCTATTTTAATTAGAGGTTTTGGCTCATTGAATGGGCTATGCTGTCCAGCAGATCAGACTGTGTAATATAATGGCCTTTTCTGGATTTAGCATTAGTAGATAGAGCTAAGTTGGTCCTTACCAAATACTGCTGTGCTTGTGGTGTTAAATTGCATTGGCTTGTACTAACACAAGCCATGAAAATGTCAGTGCTGCACAGTACTATGAACTAGTGGAGTTGCACTAAAATTAAAGGTGTTACATCTGCTTAGATTAGTGGAGAATTTGGTCTGCAGCATATGGTATCTACATAGTATTGAAAAAATAAAATCCCCAAACTATCAGATCACAGTCGTGTTCCCTCTGAAATGACAAGTTCAGGTATTATGTCATGTCTCCTAAAAATAATTAAAAAAATACCTTTATACACAGAGCATAAAATATCTTCTATCTCTGTTTCTGCCAATACTCTTCTTACTTTGGCTTGATTGAACCAGAAAATTGCAGATTAGGGCTAATTCATATTTCACTTGCATTAGTTTTATTCCTTTGCTTCTACATTAGCTTCAGTTAACTTACTCAAGACATATATATTGGTCTGAGAGGAAACAGAATCAA